GACTGTGAAATGGAGGCAAATAGGACCAGTAAAAGAAGAGCCCCTGGAATATGTTCCATCAAACAATGTTCAGGGTGGGCGCTGTTGTGACATTGCAATGCCAGTGCTGATACCGAGCAGGTTTTGGACGTCTAAGAGGCCGGAAGATAGTCTTTACTGCTGATGACTTCTCCATTCGTGCTGGCCATGCCGATGGTGCCTTGATGGAAAAAACGGTCAGTATCTTGGAACAAAATTCGCCTACATGCTTATGACTGGCAGGTCTACATGGAGAAACTTGCCATTGCACTCAAATTGCCGATCGTGAAGCTCGTTGATGGTTCCTCTGGAGGTGGCTCCGTCACGACGATCCGCACGATGGGCTATTCCTACATCCCTCTGCTACCTTCGTTCGCACAGGTGGTTCAGCAGTTGAACATGGGCATACCGAACCTAGGGGCAGTGGTCGGACCAGCGATAGGCCTTGGAGCCGCACGCGTCGTCGCATGCCACTTCTCCGTCATGGCTGCTGATGTCGGGTCGCTCTTCAACGCAGGCCCATCTGTCGTGTCGAATGCTACCTTCGAAGAAGGCCTCTCCTTTACCGACTTAGGTGGTCCAGCAATGCATTGCACCAACGGAACAATCGATAACTTAGCAGCCGATGAGGCGGGTTGTTTTGAGCAGCTGCGTACTGTTCTGAGTTATCTTCCAGATTGTGGCACGAGGTTACCACCCACAATTGACCCTACGGATCCCATTGACCGTGCGTCGGAGAATCTTCGGTCGATCATCCCACGCTCCCAAAATCGCATGTATAATCCACGTGCTATCATCACTGAAGTCGTCGACCATGGTTCCTTCTTCGAAATCGGTGCTCTGTGGGGCACGACGGCTATTGTGGGGCTCGCGCGCCTTGGGGGAAAGCCTGTGGGCATCGTCTCACTCAATTGTGAAGTCAATGCAGGAGCGCTAGATGCATTGGGATCTCAGAAGATCACGCGCATGCTCAAGTTTTTGGATGTCTTCAACATTCCGCTGGTACAATTCGTCGACATTCCGGGTTACGCCGTCGGCACCGTCGCTGAGCGCACTGCAACTATGCGACACGGTATCACGCTTGCAACAACATACTATAGCACGACTATCCCTATCTTTAGTGTCATCGTTCGGCGCGTCTACGGAGTAGCGGGAGGCCTCATGTTAGATTGCCGCGATCCGCGGATGCGCGTCGCCTGGCCCTCCGGGATTTGGGGATCGCTTCCGCTCGAGGGTGGCATCGAAGTCGGGCATTCTTTCGAACTCAAGGAGATTGAACGGAAGGAGGGGCGTGCAAAACGGGACAAGCGATATGCGGAACTGGACAACGAATACAGACGGCTGATGAACCCGGTTCGGACGGCCAACGCATTTGGTGTTGAGGAGATCATTGACCCTGCCTTCACGCGGGAAATCTGCTGTGAGTGGGTAAGCCATATGTATGAGAGCTTACTGCCAGAGCGAATCTTGGAGAGAGTCGCGGGTAAACTGAAACCAACATTTGCTTAAGGTTACCAACTGCAACAAGCAAGTCGTTGCCATGTAGTCATCTAACAATTCGACACATCACAGTCGAGCCATCTCATGAGAATCAAGTCCAGCTCACGTTTCACGAACAAAAGCGCGAATGTCCGTGGAAAACTAACTGCGCAGTGCTTCTCACGTCACCTGTTCCAGGGTGTATCAAGGTCTGCAGGGGTATATACCTACTGGCCAGCGAATGGTTCCAACGAGAATGCCTGCGCCCTGCAGCCAACATACTTACGGGTCGGTCTTACCTCGTGCTAGAACACGTTCGAGTTTAGCTTGTAAGTAACACGGGTGCGGAGGGACTAGGATCATTGAACATACCCGTGTCCGAACCTGTGGGCTCAACGTTCATACCGGTAGGTGTGGCGCAAACGCTCGTCTCTCGAGCTGCGCTTGGGTGCTGGGGTGCTGGGGTGCTGTGGCGTAGTTTGTACATTGCTGGTTTATTTACCCTACTTGGCACACTCTCGATTCGATACGACGCGATGCGGCAGCACGGCACATGCCCTCTTATAGACCCGTGAGATCCAATGCGTTGCTCGAGTCGCATTCTAATTCTTTATGTCTCCAAATGCAAAGGGTCCTAATCTCAGTCCTGAGTCATTGCATAAGTCAAGGTCACACGCAGAGAGCGCCCACATGTTCGATGCCTTGCCCAGCACCGAGTAACATATGTGACCCGATGTGTCGCGGATGCACTCCATATAGTGCTACACCAACATGCGGGGCAAAAGCCTACGCGTTCAACCCCAGCTGTCTTACGGCAGCCCGCTTGCACCCTCTTACGTGCATACTGATCATCAACGCCTTGACCGTGCCCCGAGATTTGAGGCATATGCACTTAAGCCCATCGTTGCCTACCTAGGTGCTTGCTGACGTCCATCGCTTAGTCGACACTGACTTCGCAATCGGGACGTAGCCACACTTTTTGAACGCCATCGGGTGATCTTGCCTTACACCTTGACAACAGCATATCGAGATGTCGCCTGTAGGCGCCGCATCTACCGCGAGACAGGCTGAACCTGTTTTGACTCGCCTCGTAGACTTGGATGATATACCCTGGTATAGCAAACGAAATCTCCGATATCTCTACGCGTTGTTGCTACCAACATGCATCGGCATAGAAATGACTTCTGGCTTCGATTCGCAAATCATTAATGCCGTACAGATCGCCCCTGCATGGCAGGCTTGTGAGCGAGGACACTCTTGGGCATTCGATCGGTCGCTGATATATGTAGACTTCAATCACCCTCGAGGTGCCCTCCTGGGCATCATCTCCGCCGCGTACAATCTAGGAGCTGTCTGCGCCCTGCCTATCGTGCCATATGTGAACGACACGTTCGGGCGGCGATGGGCGATTTTCATAGGATCTTGGATTATGGTTGTCGGATCACTAGTCCAGGCGCTATCAGTCAGTGGTAAGTCACTGAGTGACGTTACAACGAGTTTTGTTCACGAGGAATAGCTAGCATGTATATCGGAGCAAGGTTCCTACTTGGGTTCGGCATTCCATTTTGTATTATTGCGGGATCGTCCTTGATGGGTGAACTCGCCCATCCGAAAGAACGACCAATAATGACGTCTCTGTTCAACGCGCTGTGGTTCGTCGGTTCACTCACGGCAGCCGGTATATCATTCGGTACGCTGAGTATAGAGAGCGACTGGGCGTGGAGGATACCAGCCCTACTCCAAGCCGGTCCGTCGCTCCTCCAAATCGTATTCATCTTGTAAATCGCTCAATTTCCACTACTTGCAGCCAAAGCTGATATCAATTGATAGCCTGATCCCTGAGTCTCCTCGCTTCCTTATTTCCAAGGAACGTCACGAAGAAGCCTGGCGGACACTTGTAACGTACCACGCCGAAGGCGACTCCACCTCACGATTCGCCGCAGCCGAAATGGCCCAGATCCAGCACACGATTCGTATAGAACTCGCCCACTCGCAACGCTCCTGGCTCGAATTCCTTACCGTACCCGGCCTACGAAAACGGATGATCATAGGTTCTTTCCTCGGCCTGTTCACGCAATGGAGTGGAAATACACTACTTTCCTACTATCTGTACTTCCTCATGGGTCTGATCGGCTATAAGGACCCGCAATTTATTGGCAAGGTGAATGTTGGCCTCAACAGTTGGAATTTGGTGAGTGCGGTTGCCATCAGTCTGCTCGTGAGACGATTTCCTCGGCGAACAATGTACCTCACATGTGCGAGTAGCTTGTTGTGTTGTTATGTTACATGGACAATTGTCGTGCAGCAGTATACAACTACAGAAAGGTTGGAGCTGGGGAGGCTCACTATTGCGATTATTTTCATCTATCAGGCCTGTTATAACATCGGCTACAATGCTTTAACGTATAGTAAGTTGGGCCCTTTTAACCGTGTTCTTTGCAGAGATTTGTTAACAACAAGTAGCTTTTCTTGTGGAATTATTTCCTTTTGCACATCGCGCAAAGGGTATAACGATATTCCAGTTTTTTGGAAGATCGGCGGCTTTCTTCACGACATTTGTGAACCCCATTGGGCTGAATAGTATGAAGTGGAGATGGCTCATCACCTATTGTGTATGGCTGGCTTTCGAGATCGTCTTCATCGTAAGTAATCTTGCTTATTTCCAGGAATTTATACTCACACAAGATGCCTCACACAATTATCATCACTAACGGAGGATAGTACTTTATGTTCCCCGAAACATACGGACGTACACTCGAAGAATTATCTTTCTTATTCGAAGACCGTACTCGCGCGGACGAAGCGACTATGCATGTTGAGAAGCAAATGGAGTACGCCGAGCATCGATTTAGTAGACTTGACGAGCATATGAGTTGGGAAATGGATGTTGTGATACCTCGGGGTGAAGAAGAAGAGAGAAGCAGAGATGGTGCGAAGAAGAAGCAGGTTGGTGCTAATTGGTTGGAGGAATGATGATCAATGATGAGAAATATCGAGTTACTTCTTAACCATTAATCTTGAATTATTTCAATGCTCAAGAGTCACTGTCTCCTTGCATGAGCTGTGTCAAACCATATGATGTGTCAACTCTCTTGTCTCGGTTCTTCCATGCAGCCATCTGGACTAGAAATAAGGCCGTCTTCTACTCGTTGTCTTGTTGAGATAGGGTCATTGAGAAGAGATGAGAAATATCTACCTACTATATACCCACCATGCTGGCAGTATTTTGCACCCACACTAGATTTCATGATTTTACGTCACAGTTTCTCTCTAACCGCCATATGCCGAAGTTCTTTACTACGGGTTCGCACCAGCCTAGGGAAGAAAACTATATTCGCCGATCTTTGGCCGCAGACTTTACCCCGCCTTGAAACCCAAAGATGGTTGAAAACGTATCTAGGATGTTTGCACCTTACAAATTTTCCAGGTCGCTGTTTGCATGAGTATATTTATGCTAATTTTACACAGTCTTCCATTGATCGAACAAGAATCTCCCTTATTCGGGTTTTGTAGTGTAGCGGTTATCACTCCAGATTCTGATCAGTTCTCAGTGTTCTGGTAACCCCGGTTCGATTCCGGGCAAGACCTTGTTCTTTTGCTATTTGCGTCTGTTTTTTTTTGGATCATGGCACCAGTGAATTTGTGTAGCAGCCAAGGTTCCGCTGCGTTAAGGACGTTAGTGACTAGACCGCATTTTGTTAGTATTGTGCTACCACACACCTAACTCACACCTAACACCATCCTGACACAACCAATGACATACGGGAATTCACTGATACCATGTAATGCGATGGTTACGCGTTTGTTGAATTGCTTGTGGATGACTTCAAGTTGGCCAAGGTGTGATCGACCGTCTTTCGGACCAACAGGCCTATCTATCTATAGTCGCGATGGATGTTGCTGATGATTATTGTGAGAGTTCCGAAGCCAGCCGCGATGTATCTATTAAATTTAGTGGACGGTGCTGTTTATATCAGTCGCAATTTGTTTTTTCAAAGACGACTTTTCGCAAGCATTCTCCGGATCTCCAGTGCCCACGGCCATCCTCTGCACCTGATATCTTTCCATTCTTGACGCGGCGCCATTGCGTCAGGTCATATACAAATTTTATACTGACTATTGTCGGAGACCTGAACACGATTCTTAATCTGAATGGAATCTAGACCAGGGTCTTCTCACTGTCAGTCTCAATTAGATGCTCCACTCGTTCATCGCATCAAGCAGCGTTACAGATGTGGCCTAAATGGGCTCCGCAAATCAATAAAATCTTCGGAAACCTTGGCTTCCTGTTGATCTGAGCATTCTTGTGTGTGCCTCGTAACGAGGCATGCGCATGAGCGTCCCGTAGTTTCGAATGAGGCTAGTCCCTGCAATAATTCATGATAGCCCGAGCTGAACCATGCCGCGCCACCATGTGACTCGTATGTGAAGTATTCCATCAATTGCTTTTGGTCGTTTTCCTATTTAAGCTCAGACTGGTAATTTTAGGGATCATCGAATCAAAGCCGCAACGCTGGCCACGATCTCCAAGTATAGCACGTTCTACTTCATGTGCAAAGTTCCAAAGTGAGCGATTCGAGTTTTCGAAAGGTGGTCAGCATTGTCAAATTCCTTCCTTGAAGTCTGCGTAACATTTCTTTTGGCCAAGTTTACCGGCCTGCGGCGCAGCCCCACGGCTTAGACACCAGGGCGACAATGCGACTACGATCCAGCTCGCCAATAGTTCATAAGAGATTCTAATAGCGTCTTCGGAGAAAACCTGGAGATATCGGCCGTGTTTTCCAGAAGTCGCAAAATGAATGTCTGCTTAACAGGACTCTGCGTGCAGAGTCCCGCTATCACACAGTCAGCATGGCCATAATAGCGCCTTGTATCTACTTGAGCCTTACCAGCATATAATGCCTGAAAGTCAGGGGTCATGGATGGCGTGCCCATAGACTGATGCATAACTGCCATACCACAGATAGTGTCCACACTTTCATTCAGGAGAAGCTGTCGCTCACTGAAGTCAGTCGCACCGCCAATGCTGGGTTGATTAATGATCACAACGATTCTTGAGAAGTGAAAGTGTTGAATGGCCGAGGCATATGAAGCAGGATGGATCCAGATGGGTGCGAACAATTGACCTGCCAGGGGCAACACGGCTTTATACAAGGGCTCGAAGGACGAAGGAAGAGCTTTGTTCCAATCCTCAAGAGCTCGCAATAGTCTGTTCCCTTCGGCGATGCGCGCAGCGATCTCGTCATGCTTCTCGCTCGCCGCAAAGTCAACACACTTTGCAGAGATGTATATGATTCTCAGACAAAGCTCATCAGGGCTGAGTTCTACCAGATGCTTGGTAGGTTCCCAAAAGGTAAGGACCTTTCGGCCTTCGCGGAAAGCAGCCCAGGTATCTTGGCGGAGCCACTGCCACCACGCCGCCCTTCGAAGCGGATCTTTGCATTCGCCATTGTTGTTCTGTGATCTCTGTATCCAGAAGATACCTCGAAGATGCCTTTCCCATGCTCCGTTGCTATACAGACCTTCAGCATCGAACATTTCCTGGAAAATAGCGGTGTTAGTGCATCCTGAAGCCTATTGGGTTGGGAGTACATACATAGGTGCTAATTAACAACGCTGTTGAAATAATTTCTTTTGATTGAGAGTAAGAAGGATATAGTAAGTTCTGTGAGAGGTATTGCAGTGTCTCGTAGTAGTAATGCGTTGCCACTTGATGCATCGGATTGACAGCGATATTTGAATCCGACGCTGGATACGGCATACTTGACTGCATTACATGCACACGAGGCTCTCCAAGAGCCATATGGCGTGCTGACACTGCCAATAGTGACTTCAAGAGGCCCACGTTACGGACTGCCAAGCGAGGGACAGCTGTAGTAAATTGTTTTGACGGATCGCACAAGTCTATCATTGGGCCAATCATATTTGTGTAATGGTGTAATAGCATGAGCTCATCACTGGTCATAGGTATGTTGTCGGACGAGTTCCATTGTTCCAAAAGTACCGGTGAACTCTCTCGCTCTTGCGGTAGGGCCTGGGGTTGAGCCTCGTCGTACAGTGCTTCTAAGTTTGGGCTATGTCGACTCGATAGCGTGGTCCTTTCGAGTTCGAGGTCCAGGTTGTACTTGTCCATGTTGTTGATAGCATCCTCAGCGAGGAGATCGTACCACTCTAACGGCGCTGAGGTCGGAGAAGGAAACCAGGGAGCGTTTCTTTCTGGAGACTTGAAGCTTGGTCTCGGGGAGTTCGTACAAAGCCTGGGGTCGATGTCCCCAGCAACAAGGACCCTTCTACTGAGAGCAGGGGACTGCGACGCTCCGGGATCGTCTTCCTGTACAGATGGCGTCGATGGATCGATGGAGCCCGATTTTTGAGCGGTCGGGTCCAGCGCGGAGTCCGTTGCGTAAACACATTCTCGTTCCGACTTGCCGCAGGTTGCACATGTTGGTTTTCCTTCATCGCACTTGACACGTCGCTTTCGACACGTGAGACTATCTAAGTCAGTCCCAGTCAGGGAGAAGGACAGTCTAAAATGTGTATAACGCACAGAATCGCGCAGCGTTACGTGATCAATCACGATGTGCAGCATGTGCAACCCCAGATTCTGTACGCGAACGGCAGATAGACTTACCAGCCAGTTGTTGTTCGCAAGCCTCGAGCACGTGAAGGGCGGGGCTTACGGGGTTTGGAAGGACCTGTTGATGGCATCACAGTACCCATTATGCATGCTTGAGTAACTTCGTTTCGAGGGAGTGTGTTCGCTTCGAGGCTGCGTATATGCTGTAGGGTGAGTAGTATAGCGGGGACTACCTGTAGGCTCGGTTGATGATCGCTGATGCAGTTGGCCAAGTTGGCCGGGTTACACATCCGACACCGAGCGCACTTTCGTAGGTTGTCGTTTGTGCCTGGGTGTGGGAGCCGCGAAAGCGACGATAATAAATGTCGATATTGGGCCAATGAACATTAGCGGAAGAGACTGTAGAATATCCATGAGATTCAAGGACAGAAACTTCCAGGATTTTCTGAACTTGAGAAGGCATCATCGCTGAGTGGTGGTTATGCCTGCTGTCTATTTCAGCGCGACACACAGGACGCTGTCTCGACCCAGACGCGTGGACCGTGTAATTGACTAGGCAGCGCCCAGACGATTTGGAGACTCTGTGAGCTACATGAAACATTGTATATGTAAGTTCACGGGGCTGTTTGCACACTGTGATGCCGTGATGCCTGCAACGTAGACGGGTGAGTTCGGGCGAGTATCATGTCACGTGCCAGAGCTCTTGCATATCTACCTAGGTACCATCGCCTGTTAGCAAGCGTCGCCTAACTTGTCCCAACATCATCACATGTAGCATTTGTGCAAAACGCCACCGATATCATTCTATGGGGCCTCAGAGCTCGCCGACTATTGTGAAACGCTTATTGACACCCTCCGATGCAAGAATCCGCGCTGCCGAAAAGTCAACAAATTGCTACCCCATAGCATTCGCTATCGGTACCAAACCCGGCATTTCAGACGCAAACGCTGGTAGTGTAGCAGCTCGCGTAGTCCGAAGCAGGTACAACACACGCTCCTCAAGCTCGCAAGAGACCACCGATCTGAGCATAACGCCATCATGCCTTTCGAGGTTCCAATTGGCTGCCTACTAACCAAATACATCATTGAATGCCGCACGACCGTAGGTGAAATAGATTTAGGACAAACTCCATGCTGCGCACAGTACATTGCCGGGGTATGTGCCATGTTACGAACTGCGCCCTTTGTTTTCTTCCCGTTCGGTGCCGAGGGCGCAGCAGGGTGCAATCGGTACGAAGTTGTGGCGGCGAAGATGGTTGAAGCTCTCCACTCCGAGCTCGACGAACTTTCTCTTTGCAACAGTAGCGCAACAGTACACATTAACATTGGAAAGAAGCTTGCGCTGTGCATGAGTGAATTCTAGAGCGGCCTGCTGTCTGGCCATGCCAGCCCTAGTGATCGTGCCAACGCGGCCCGATTTAACGACGATGCTATCGAGTACTCTTTAAACCCACTCTTTGTGGTACTAATGCAAGTCTTGGTGGCATTTTTGATCTGAAATATAAAGAATTCAAAATCTCATGTAGAGAGATTAAGCAACTGGCCTTCTGCAGCGTTACCTGTGAGGCAAATCGTCACCGTTCCAAGACCAACACTCCAAGGCCTCGGTGGTAGCGATGAGCTACGTCTTTGACAAGACATTGCAATCAAGCCCTTATTGGGTTCTGTCTCGAGAAAGATGGGGTCTGTAACTGACTGATAGACCTGAGAGACACAGTGTCCGCTCGTCTGGTCATTCAGAGGGGCAGCTTGTTCAGCCTGTGGCAGAATTGCAAGAGCCCTTTTTAGAATGCCATACTAGCGGCTAATCTAGCAATTTTCGGAAGGGCCAACAGAGATGGCGCTGTTGAAACAAATGAGGGGTTACAGGTGCTACACGGACCTCGATTGTTCAGGTTCAAAGTGGAGTCCTATCCACAACGAGTTGCGGAAACGGTATAGTAACTTGTCACCATGAAGCAATGATACGAGCCGCTAACCAATGCAGGGACGTCCCACGGCATTGTTGTCG